CACAACCCCGCCCAAATTTTGGACTTGGCTCAACATGGCCCCAAGTTTGCGGGGCATGTCCCAAGCCGAAGCTCACCAGCGTCACTCCGCAAGTTAAACCACCCGGCCTGAAGATTCCTGCCGAGCCCCAAATGAACCAACCAACCAAACCCCAACTGCCACCAAAGAGCCAATGGACTACCTAGGGGTAGTGACGCTGGTGAAACCACCCCCCCAACCCAAGCCAGACCAAACCAACCAAGACAACACGATGGCAAACAATAAAAACAGGCCCGGTTGCACAGGCCCCTGCAAAAGGAAAACTAGGTCCTCCAGTAGTAGGGGTGCCTTTTTTTCTCTGCAGCCTATTTTAGTACGGGAACCCTACGTAGATGCCCACAGGATCTGAAGGTCCAAAGGCCTACGCACAGAATGCAGCTTCGTCACGGCAGCTTTTCCCTGAACTTGGCCTGAGCATAGCTCGGTGGCGAAATCTGCGAAGCCCTGCTAAAAGTGAATAACTTTTGGTGGTTTAATAACTTTTGATTAACTTTTAATTAGTTGGCAAAAAGCTCTCAAGTCCTAACATCCAAGCAAAATGCACCCAAGATTGCATTTGCAGCGGGGCACGTACTCTGAGTTAGGCTGTCCAAGCGGGACAAGCCAAGCCTTGAGCCTTCCCCTTTCAGGAGTGAAATCACACAGAATCAAATGCGGTTCTGGACACCGCTTGACACATAATTATCGACACCCGGATCAATAACAAATTATTTACCGGATCAAAAACAAATTATTGGTTGGGGGTGCCAAAACGCTGTAATTTACATCATGTTCGGGCAACAGCGCGCGCATTTTACGGCTGCAGCTGAAAAATAGACACTTTCCAATACAAGCGAAGTACGCGAAGGTCACTTTGGCAGCTCCAGTTCGAAATGCAAGCGCAGTTCTATCAACGAATCTAGCATCGGTTAAATGCCTGTAGGGTTGGTTTCAGGTTAATTTTGGTTGGGTTTCGGGTGGGTTTGGGGTTGGCTTAGGTTGGTTTAGGGTTGGTTTAGGATTGGTTTAGGGTGGGTTTAGGTTTAGTTTAGGGTCTGTTTAGGGTGGGTTTAGGGTGGGTTTAGGGAGGGTTTAGGGTTTGTGTACGGTGGGTGGATTTAGGTTGGTTTAGGGTAGGTTTAGGTTGGGTTTAGGGGTTGGCTTAGGGTAGGTTTAGGGTAGGTTTAGGGTGGGTTTAGGATTGGTTTAGGGTTGGTTTCGGGCGGGTTTAGGGTTGGATTAAAAGTTGCGCAGGGTCGGTTTCAAGGTTGGTTTGTAGGTTGGTTTTGGGTTGGTTTAGGGTAGGAGCCAGGAGACCAGCAGACCAGGAGACCAAGAGACCAGGAGACCAGGAGACCAGGAGACCAAAGGACCAGGAGACAAGACCAAGGACCAGGAGACCAGGACACCAGGAGACCAGGGCATCAGGCGACCAGCAGACCAGCAAAAAGCAGGAGACGGACACCAGCAGACCAGGAGACCAGGGGACCAGGAGACCAGGAGACCAGGACACCAGGAGACACCACGGGGACCAGGACACCAGGAGACCAGGGACCAGGACCAGCGGGGAGACATGGGGACCAGGAGACCAGGAGACCAGGAGACTAGGTCTCAATAATTTGTTTTTGATCCCCTAATTTGTTTTTGTTGATCCCCAACAATAATTGTTTTTTGATGGCTCCTCCCGCTTGACACGAGCCATAGGAACTGCCCTCGCCACTTTGGAACCACAGAAGCGCTGGCGACATGACCGCATCCCACAGGAACTGGCTGAATGTCACTCAGATACGTGGGTTGCCTTGTTTGAGGCTACCATTTTTTCCGTCAGTTGAAAGGGACACCAAAAGGAACACCACCAACTGTGGAGGCACCATTTCAAGTCACACCCATTTAAGTCCTTTCAAAGACATGGCCAGCGTTCAACCCTCAACTGGGAGTTGAGTCTTTTCTTGGTTCATTTGGCAGATACAAATTCTCACCTAAATGATGTCCATTAAAGGGTCCCAAATTCAAATTCAATCCCATTTCGGTCAACAGCAAACACGCAAGATGGTGCCACGCTCTGTGTCAATAGCTAACAGGGCAGTCCGTGGTTTGACCAAAGGGGTTCCCTAGCTTTGGCCTTCTGCCAAAGACCCATGTTTTTTCTTTGCCCCAGATTCGACATGTCATGCCCTGGAGGCTTCCTCAAGACAAAGGGACCCCGGCGAAGTGTCATTGCCTTTCCAAGGGGTACGCTTGTTTCCAAGCAAACACGGGGATGGCCTTGAATGGCGTTGAACAAAGCATGACCCCATTCCAAGTTATGGTCGGTTTACATTTGGCATCACACACATGCTCCAGAGACATGTTTCGCCAAAGCTGCCATGCTGCTTGCTGGCGAATGGCTCTCCAGTTCCCACGGACCAACGCTCAAACCAAACTTCATCACAAAAAAACAAGGTCTCCATAACACTGGCCAAGGCCGAAAGGAAAAATCGGAACACACCAAAGATACGAGTATGTCTCAAAAATTGAGGCGGGCCCCCCACAGACTGGGCACGGGTCCGTAAAGCCCTGGTTGATTTAGAGGATCCCTCCCTGATCAACATGAAGGGTTCACCCAGGGGAGACGGTCGGGGCTGGTGGCACTCAGGGGGTCACCCCACGAGCCTCGAAAATCGTCTCAGATTGCTTCTCAAGCTGGCCTGGCTCAGGCGCCAGCCGCCCAGCCGCGCTGGAAAGGAACCCGAGGCTTTGGGGACCAGCGCTCTAGTTGGCTAAGATTTGCCCTTTGCACATCACCCAAAGATGGCCCAAGTGAGGTTTAAACAACGAATCGGGAAGTCTAGGGAGTCCTGAAATCGTACGACCTTTGTTTTTGTGTGCGGTCTTACCCTCCCAGCGGCCGGCAAAGTGCACAGACCCTGTTGATTTGGAGTCTGTGCACTTACACGTGAATTAGTAGCATGGAATCTTGGCCTGGTCATGGATCTTAAATGGCTGTGTGCACCCTCTTTCAGGTGAAGCATGACCTTTCCCTTCGTACAGCAGGTGGCTTTTGGATATGTCGTTTAAGGACCCCGCTCTAACCCTTGGTTTTGACAAAGAGCGCGGCAAGGCCAATCAAGGCGCCATATGCTCATCAGCCCCCGGGGCTTGGATGATTGCAGGGTTGCTCTTTAATTCTACGCTTCTTGCGGCCTTCTGAAAAGGGAAGCATTATAATGCAACTAACATTGATGCCTATGGAAGAAATATCTAGAAAACGGTTTGGATCTGCCTGTTGTGGATTTCACTTGTTCTTCCCGCCTCCTGTCGGTTCTTCTAGTGATCTTTTAGTACGTGTCCCAAAAATATCTCTGGGGTTGGGTTCTCGCTTTAATTGTCTAACCGCAAGGGGGCGAGGATTGTTGGCAGACCGGCTGGAAGCGTTCCAAGACGCGGTAATAAAGAGGTATCGCGTGAAAACGCCGAGCTCGGAAGTTGATGGAGCAGAGCCCGTGAAGGTGCACATTCTGCTTTCATATTTCACAGAGGTGGGTCCACACAAGCCATTCAAACCGCCTCTTTCCCCCTCTTTCCCCTGATCCGTCGCCCCGTGCCTGGCACAACGGGATCGCGAAGGAACTTCAAATGAAGCTGGTTCGCCACCTGGGTCATAGGATTTGGATCTGGCTTTCCTTTTGGCATCCCTTAATGTGTTTGTGGACAACAGCCCTTTTCTGTGATGCCAATGTAGGCCAGCTTTATAGTGGCGATACAACCCTACTGCAATTCCCACAACAAGACAAGACCGGAGTCGCGAGAGCGAGGCCACGCTCTTTTTGCACTGAGAGTGAAGAATTGGCCATACCCAAACGGAAACGAAGAGCCACCTGCTGGTGCCCGTACATGGGTTCTAACAAAAGGGTTCGCGGTTCTACAAACGTGATTTCTTGTCCTTTGATTCAAGCTGGAGCCATGGAACCCATTTATCAAAGTCCCTAACACCAAATGCGTCCTTTAAGGGCCCTTGTCAAAGCTAAGTGCTTTAAAAGGTTTCGTTTGCTTTATAGTTTCCATGGTTTCCCTTGCTCGCTTGCTTTTCTTCTTTCGGCTTGGATTCGGGGCGAGCCATGCCCAAAAGAAAGATCTTGCACAGCAAGGGACTCCCCAAGCCCAGGATTCCCGCAGCCGGGAAAGCGAAGGAAAGCAAAGGAAAGAACAAAAGGAAAGAACAACAGGAAAACAGGGTTCCTACAAGACCGCATCGTCCTTTACAAGTTGTGTTGGTGGCCCCAATGATCCTGTAAGGGACCCTGCAACATGCTATCCATGAGGGAAGCAGGAGACCAAAAGAGCTCAAAGAAGCCGAAAGGAAAGCAAATCCTAAGAAAAGAGCCCAAGAACCAAAGGAAACCAAAAGCAAAGCAAAATGAACTGAGGAACACAAAGAAGCCGATTTGCCAAGGGCAACTACGAGGCATCATTCCCGAGACAGTGTATGGTCGACCCTCAAGGGAAGGAGACTACTCTCTCGCATACTGCACTTCATCTTGCGCACATCGATGCACAGTTGCTGCATGACTCTGCATGATAATACTCGGGAAAAAAGGACCCTTCTGCAAGCTTAGAGTGGACACCCACCAAAAGGAAACTAGCGTAGTCCTAGGGCCGAAAGCTTTAACATTTTCATGGTGTATCATTTTAGTCAAGGTCAACGATGCAAGATGTCACAAAACGTTGACCAAATTTGCCAGGGACACTTCTGCAAGATTATGGGACCTCTGATGGGTTCCCGGTGAATGGGAGGAGCATATGCCGTCTACTTCTTTGATAGAACCCTTGTCCTGAGACAAACACATATTTATCTGAGTGTGAATTTTAGTTTGTCACTCTCTGGTGCGTATCACTTCGGGATTTATGTTCCACCGACCATTTCCTGATTGAAATTAATGGCCCTATATTGAGTGTTCTTGGCTGTCCCCACCCAAACTGGGAACATGTGCCAACTGCGTCTTTCATCCGCACGTGTTATCATTCGCTGCTTGCCAGGTGGCAACTAGCGTAATCTGCATGCTGCTGTGCTGCGTCACGTCGTTCGCAGAAATCAGCCTCACAAAGGATTATATAAGTGGGTGTGTGTGGTCCAAAGGCAAACCAACATGAACACCACACTTTGTGAAGTATCCCCGTAGTTTTCCTGGTGATTTCTCTTTGAACGACCCCAACAGGTGTACTTCAAAAACACTCTCAGTGTGGGCGTGCGCGCCGAGTCAGTGTGGGGCCATGACTACAAATGGACGGGGAAACTAAAAAGGTCAACAGGTCGGCCTTGCAAGTATCCTTTCGTTCAAAAACCACCCTGCTGTATGAAGGGACTCTCTCAATCAGCTGGAAAGGTGATCTTTAGGAGGCTCTGGTTGTTCTCAGTGTGGCTGTTTTACACTATGGGGTTACTCCCTCGTTGGAAAGTCCAAAGCGACAGCCGTTTATTCTGATAATACTGTTTCCCTATTGCTTAGAAAGCCCACGTGAATGGAGACAATCTCCTGGCCTGCTATCCAATTCTACTCTCAAGTGCTACTCTCAACTTTAAAGGCACCCGCAAGGATTGGCCGTAAAACAACCAATCGAGACCCACCACAAGCCAACATGACCCTCTGCCTGTCAACAAATCTGTTGTGGTTAGAAGAACCCAAAAACTATTGCCCATATTGCCGCCAATACAAGCCACCACTAGACTACTAGTTACTAGTTCCTTTGATGGCACCAAGGGCTGCCAGAGGCAAATCTCAAACGTTTGCTGATCGGAAACTGCGAATTTCTAAGTACAGTTTGGGCCCTGTTTTTGAGCCCCCGACCTTTTTTGGAGGGCACTTGAGCCAACGTGTCATTAACATGGAGGGCGAAGAGGCTTTGGGGTTGGGAAAACACCGCGTCCTGCAGTTTGATTGAAAGTCCATGTTTGCTTCAAGGCCAGTCCCCCCCCTGCCAACACAACCCCCTGATAAATCCTGGCCCTCAGCACCGGAACAACCCGAAGCCCTTGGCAAAAGACCGTCCTGCGTGAGCTCGAGTGAGCTCTTTGGTTGCTCTTGTAGTAGTTTCGGAAACAACAAAAGGTCCAAAGGCCGCAAAGAGAGGGCAAAACGCGGCCCAGGCGAAATCTGGTTTTGTTCAAGGACTCGCGTGCCCTGAGTGTGTTCTTTGGTCAGAGGGAAACACCCCCCTCAACACGGAGTCGAGTCCTGTGTACAAAAAAACAAGTTGTGACACGAAACGTCAGATGTAGGCGCAAAAGAGTTTCTAAAAACTTCTCTTGTTCCCTTCCCGAGCAATCGGGACCCGCTCACATTTATGGCAAAAGGCGGCCCTCTCCGTGAAATGATGACCTCTGCTTGTTTTGCTTTGATTTTGTTTTGCAAGTCGTAGGCATAGGTTCTTTTTTGGGGCAAATAGATGGCCCTGGTAGATGATTAAACTACCAGGTAAAGGCCATCTATTGTTCGACCAAAACAACCAAAAAGGACACCTATGGTCGTAGGTCATGTGCATTTCGCCCCCTCTAAGACCAACTATGTGTTTGTTCCTGCTAAGGCGACACATGAACAAAACGAGACCCATTAATTCAGACCAAATCAGACCAACCAACAAACTAAACCAACACCCAACCGAAACAAACAAAAAACAAAACACGCAAACCAAACCGAACCACGCCAAACCAACAAAGAAGCCAAGAAACACAATTGAACAAGTCAACTACCCCAAAGGCCATGCAAAAGAAGCATTCCGAGCTGCTCATCTCCCAGCTCCAGTGTAGGAAGGCCTGCGAGCGTAGATCCGTGCCCTCCGTCCTCTTCTTATCGACCTGTCTACCTACTGTGGATGGTTGTGAAATCCTCTTAGGCACCAACTAAAAAACAACCCGGGTTTCTGATGCTTCCCCGACGGAAATACCAACCAACAATAGCTTGCTATGGTTTCAAGGTGGTGCGAAGTGGAATTCGTCCACCCACAGTATCTACTTGACTAGTCTATCAACCAATCTATCTATCCATCCATCCAAGTTTGGCTTTACCCGCACAAACCCCATTCTAATCATTGAGGCCCTTACGCATTACAAACAATGAATGCGCTTAGGGCAGTTGCAAGAGCCTCTAGAAACATTGTTAGGTTACCCAACGTTGTTAGGTTTCAATGAAACTGAAAGGAAAACCAACATTTTGGAGGGTCCCCCAAAAAGACACTCAAATCAGCTGGTATCTACTTACTTGTTCAACTGGCCCATATCAGTGAAAACGTCCGCCTATCAAGTTCCCCAACTTTGACACGGTCCCCCCCCCAAAAAAGCAACCACACACTGTCTTCTGCAGTCCCCCCCCCACAAAAAAAAAAAAAAACATGAACAGAACAAAAAACAGCTACCCACACAAAATGAACAGAAAACAAAAAACAGCTATGCCAACAAGAGTGAAGCACAGCGCCCTGGCGCCCACGTCTCCGCCGTTGCGCCTTGTGCCTTGCGCTCCTGCTGCCACCTTCCGGCAGGGGAGTTGGGATCCACCGCGGCGACCAACAGCCTGGGCGTCCGGCTACGGAGGGGCCCTCTCCCCTTCGCCCCCTCCGCCTCCAGAGGCGATTTGCACTCTACAAACACGGGTTCAAATCCCCGGAGCAAACCAAACCACCAACCTAGGGTGACCTGAAAAGTGGTTCGCAACTGGTCAACCACCGCGTCCTTGCAGAGCTCCTGGATTACAAGCAAACTTGGAGAGCCCCATCTCCGAGTCCGGCTCCCTTCCAATCAACAGCTAGTCAAGGTGGTGGAACCCCTGGCGGTTGATACTGAAAGAAGAAACGGATTTTGAAGACGTTTTGGAGTGTTCTGAGAATTCTATCAGCCCAAAGCCATAATACAGGGGTTCTCCTTCTGGGGAAATGCTCGTTAAGTATGCATTTGCATAAATGAACAAACCTGCAAAAATTCCACAATTCTTCCAAACCCTGCAATAAAGGACCCGCAAGAAAAGGACAAAGGAACCTTCATCATGGGTCTCCTCGTTCCAGCCCCAGTTCAGCCCGCCACACAATTGGCGGAACAATAGAACAATACAACCTAACCCTTTACCGAAACCGAACTGGATGCTAATTAGGAACTTTGGAAAACAGTTGCCATGGGCTATTTTCAGCGTCCCTCTGATTCGTGGTTCGAGTGGTTTGGAGGCCCTTTTACCCTCAACAAGAACCATCAAATACGCATCCAAACCGCCAATCCAATGGGGCTGCCTGATATTCACCCTCGCGTCCACCAAAATGGAACTTGACTGAGGGCTCCTGGAAGACCAGGCTCCCTCTTAAAGGGACTGCAATGTGGACACGAGGGTAGCACCCACAAACTCAGTTGCCCAAAGGACCTGGAACTAAGAGGTGATCACCTTGTGGCACCATGACTAAAAATGGCTCCCAATAAGAGAAAACCAAAAGGTCCAACAGGTTAAAAGGTCGATTTGCTCAACTGAGCAAAACACGCGCATTCCGCGCGTCGCGTGGAATGCGGTCGAAGCGAGCGGATCGCGGGCGCGCGCGCCGCGCCTCTGCTGCGCGTAGGCGACCTTGTTCCAGGCGAGGCCCCAAGCCTCGCCGGGCAGCCGCTCCAAGGTGGCCTCCGCTTCGAGAAGACCAAGACCCCAGGAACGCCATCCCCGCCCAACCCCCCAAACAATAAAAGCAAGAAACGCAAACACACAAGCAAACAAGCAAGCAAGCAAGCAAGCAAGCAAGCAAGCAAGCAAGCAAGCAAGCAAGCAAGCAAAGCAAAGCAAAGCAAAGCAAAGCAAAGCAAAGCAAAACAAAACAAAACAAAACAAAACGAACATGAAACAAACAAACAAACCAACCAACCAACAAACAAACAAACAAACAAACAAAAAAACAAGGAATACCCGTCAATCCAATAACATAGAATCTGACTGAGGGGCCCTGGAAAGACAATGTTCCTTTAAAGAGGGATCCTTTTGTTGGAGTCCGTTAGTGGGAAGGAGGCTAACCAGCTGAAATGACAACCAAGAAAAAGCCGCCTCTTGCAGCCTTCTTCTGCTTCCTCATGAACATAACCAAAGAACTCAAACAAACAAACCACCAAACAAACCACCAAACAAACAAACAAACAAACAAACAAACAAACAAAAACACAAACACACAAACAAACAAAAACACAAAAACACAAACAAACAAACAAACAAACAAACAAACAAACAAGCAAACAAGCAAACAAAACAACAAGCAAAATCGTAATAAAAAAGGCCAGATCGAGGAGAATGACATATTGACGATCATGGCTGAACTCTCATGAACAACACACGAAATATGAGTAGGGAGTTGCAATTTGATGGCAAGGCTTCTTTCTTCCAGTGGACCATTCGATGCATCTCTAAGACCGCTTAACGGGAATCGTCTTTGGCGAGTTTTTGGCATCACCAAAGACAGCATCTGCAACTGTCCAATAATTCCAAAACCTGACTTAAGGAGTCCCCGAGTAAGCACCTTCATGTCATTTTTAGGTGAGCTTGCCAGGAAACAGGCAGCATTCCCATGGCGCAATGTCCCACCGCAAATCAGGAGCACATGGCTCCGTATCTCGCCCCCTAAACGTCTCCTCATTTGTTGGGAACTCACCTTTTGCCACCTGCTGGGGGGCCAGTCTAGCCATAACCACTGCACCACTGCTGTGGGGGGGGGGGAAGAATTTGTTACATGTGTTTAACAAATTCAGGGGAAATTTATTTTCCCATCAAGGTCAGCGTGGAAACTGTACAAGAAATCATTTTTGAAATCATTGGATAGGATATGCCAACCAGGTATAGGTTGCAACTGCTCTTGCTGCGAGGAAAAAAACAAACCGAGCCCCCTGGACCTGCCGAAGAAACCAACTGGATGCAGCTTCAAGAAAAACCGCCGGAAGGGCCACCAGTCAAGCGAGGCCGAGTCTATCCGATGAAATCATTGACCTCCCTCACCAGCACTCACCTCATGTAATCTTTCCCCGGCAAGTGAACAAACCACTTGCCCTGAAGCCTCCAACATGAACAGTTGGCAAACAACTTGTCCTAGCTAAGCGTCCAAAGTGAACAGTAGCCACAAATTCAAACACCTCAAAGTAGGGCTTCCAATAAGAAAGCCACCAGTCCGCAAGGTAGTCCTAGGACACCCCATCGGCTTGCCCTCAAGCTTGGCCCTCACCACTGCAAGAAGACTCACGAATCAAGCCCTGTGGAAAGCAAAGGGGGTGCCCAAATCGAAATGCGTTGGCATTGTGCCATCTAGCTCGAGTGAGTATGTTTTACAATAGGGTCTCCCCCGAAATGGATCGAAATGGTGGTTCTACGTTTGGCTTTCCTTCTCAACCACCTCACGACGGGTATCCTTCAAGCATACGCACTCACATTTGCAGCTGACATCATCAATTTACAGTCGTCATTCTCCAGCCCCCCCCCGCGGCCATGGGACAAAAAGGGGCTGTTTTTTTCACAGGGAACTCCACCAAAAGTTATGACAACGGATCCAAATTGTATGATAAGATATTGCAAGCCCGGACAAAAAGCAGCTGTTTTTCACGGGGAACTCCTCCAACAATCCTGAAAACGGATCCAAATTGTAAGATGGTGTAAGCCACTGTAGGCTAGGTCCTCCAGTGGAGAACTCAAAATAAGGGCACCCCTTTTTCGGTAGTCTATTTTAGCAGGGGAACCCTCCCCCCAAAAAAGAAACGGTCACAGAAACAATCGCTGGGGTAGGCCCGTTCTTCAAGGTGACAGGTGACGCGAAGCCTTCTCCGCGCCTCGAGGCATCTCTCCTCTTCTCCCTCCGGCTCTGGCTCCGGCAGGTCTTCACGCGCCTCAAGACTGGTTCTCTCAACGTGGAGACGTGTGGCTGGGCGCGTTTGAAGGAAGGCCAAAAGGGAAAAACACATGTTTTTTGTGTGTTTTTTAGGGGGGGCCTTGATTCTTGAAGGTGTTGTCCCCCCGAAAAAGGGTTCTCTACAGCCCGCCCCCAACAAGAAAGACAAAGTGTTGTTCCTTCTGGCTTCCATGCAAAACCATCCCGCCAGAAAATGGTGTCCACCATGTTGAGCAAAAGACCCGTTTGGCAAATCCGGAATCCAGGCCCCCAACCCTTGGCTTCCAAGGCTGCAATGGTAGAAAACCACCCTTGTAATGCCAACATGACACACACACACAATACTCACAATACACACAGAAACAAGCACATAAGGCTGGGAAGTCATTGTCGGGAAATCCAGCAGTTCTTAGCACCTCTCACCTGACAGCCCAAAGAGTTCGACGTGCCGTCAAATTGCAAAGAATCAAACCCAAGACCCCACAGCTGTCGATGTTGGAGAAACAGCTCAACCACCGCTCCCCCCACCCCGACCCCAAAAAAGCCAAGGTGACATCCTCAACAATAACACTTCTAGAGGGGAACCCTTCGGAACCCTAGCCCAGAGCCGCTCCAAAGCCTACTCGCACGGCGAAGGCCAAAGCTTTAATCCGTTGGGCAAAGCAGGGCTTAAAGGATACCCCCACAAGCCACCTGCTTTACCAGGATTCGGATGCGATACATCAGCTGGCAAATGTCCTTTCAAGCCCCACACAGATTTCGCGACATGGAGAATTGCAATACCGTACCGGCCCTGATATTTGTTTCACTGGGCCAACGTACCTTTAAGGGCCCCCCTGGCAACAGAAAAGAAAATCGTGGAATCCGTGCCCTGACCCCTCACCCCGAGCGCCTTGGGGGTGCTCTCCGACTGGGACACACTCTCCGACTTGGCATCTTCAACAACTTCCGGAGCTGCGTCCTACCGGACTTGGGGGGGGGGGGCTGCTCCCCGCCGCCCCCTCGAAGTGGACCCTGCGGGATTTCCATCAGGCGGCACAGGGCGGCAAACCTGAAACTTGCAAATGCCTGCAAGTTTAGATCGCTTGATTGGATTGGCCAATAAGTCTGAACCGCGATTTACCACTAGACAAGTTGCCCGAGGATGCATCAAGCCCGCGAACTCAGCGAAAAACTCAATGTTCGACTAAGTGAAACTTGAACCAGGACATGCAATGGAACTAGTAACTAGTCCAAGCCCTTTTGGAATTGCCCATGTTTTTTTTTTGGTGGGTCCACCCCATTTTCCATGCTCTGCATGGAGCCCGGAGGCCTGTATTTAAGGGTATGAAACACATAGCGCGACCCGAACTTCGGGTCAACACCCAACGTCCCTGTGTTCATAGGTGTCCTTTTAGGGCAAATAGATGGCCCTGGTAGATGATTAAACCACCAGGTAAGCCAGGGCCATCTATTTTGTCCACCAAAACCACCGAAAAGGACACCTATGCATCTTCGCTTTTAGTCAAGGGCAAAGATGTCAAACGCTACCGAACCTTCGCCCTGCGAATCTGTCGCGTGTTGATAATGCCATTGTGTGGCGCAACTCGCCCCAGCCAAACCTGTGCCTTTCTGAGCCTATGCAAGCAGAAGCCACGTCCTTTGCCAAAAGAGTTCTCTCCTCTTTGTCCCGCTGCAATTCACATACCTTTCAGGCAAAACATGTTGTGGTCGAGTTAAGGCGGATCCCTGACATCTTTCAAACACTCACTTGCCTCAAGGACCAGGACATATAAGGCTAACCTTTTGGGACAATTTACGAAAAATGGACCAACCTGGGAACACCAACAGGTCAAAAGGCTCGATTCGCTTTGAGCGCTTTGGTGAGAAGAAGCTCTGCGCTTTCCGCCCACGTCGTCACAAGTTTGGCCGCGGGCCTCGCGAAAGATTGCCACGAGCCCCGCGACGAAGGCCGCCAGTGCCAGGACGAGCAAAAGGACGTCCAAGGATACCTCGGCTCCAAACATGTTTTTTGGGGGAGTTTCTCTCTCTCTCTCTCTGCCGTTGCGTCCAGAGGGTCTTGACTCAAGGCAACGAAGAAGGTGCCCACTGATATTCAGGGGCACCAACAACAGAATAGGACAGTTTGGGCGTTTTGGGGGAGTTGGGCTCTGTAGTTCCCCAGTCACCGGGAACTTTAGATGAATTTCTGTGTGTTCTTGGCTCCTTGACTACCCATTGGGTGACCAAGGGATCCAACACTGTGAAAAATGGTTGTTTGTCCCAACTATGGCTGCCTTCATCAAACAACGATCATGTCATCCACCAAACTAATTGTGCGTGGTCTCCCTTAAAAAGGAGGCTATGGTCCTTTTGGGTGTCAAAATTGTGTGGCTTGTCTCCTGTTGGCTTCCCTCTACAACCAAGCCAAGACTCACTTTTTGAGTGGATGGGCCAAACAAAAACTGCTGTATTTACCACTGAAATGGTCTTCCCAAACATTTTGTAAAGTCCAGGAACTCAGGGAGTGAGAAAGGGGAAATCCGCGGGATAGGCAAATCCGCTCCAAGCGCTCCGGAAAGCCCAGTCGGTGAGGCAAGGCGCGCCACTCCAAAGCAACTCCATGGCAGGTGGAGATTTTTCGGCCTGGCCGGGCTTTGCGGAAAGGGGGACTGGTTTCTTGTGTTTTGTGGATGGCTCTGGATGGCTCTGCCTGACCTGAAGGTTCGCAATGGAGAATGGTGCTTTGCGATATACCTGGCTCCTTGCAAGGGCTCTGAAAGCCACGGAGGGTTGTACGCCCAGGTTCGGAGAACCTGTGTGGGCAGTTTGTTTTTGGGAGGGAGCTTCTCAACGGAAACCACCCAGCTGTGAGACAAAGCTATCAGCGATGCTCGCAGGAAACCGAGAGCTGCAATTCGAGCGCGGGGCCATGCCAGCGCTGGGCTTGGGGAAAATGAAAGCGTCAAAGCCCATTGTTTTATCTAGGGATACCTCTTTGAAACCTGGAACATATCTTTTGACCATGCCCCTGAGATTCGTATTTTTAGCATATGTTTCTTAGGATACCCTCTCCATAAGAAACGGGCATGAGCCACAAGTCTGGGATAAAGGCGAGAGAGCGCGTTAGGCGCTCAAGCATTAGGCCTCCAAAGGCCAGGGTGTGAGCAGATATTTGGATCAGCCATCTAGTAAAAAAGCGTGAGGATAGAAAGCCTTGGCTAAAGGATTTGTCCAACAACCACCTGCTCTGAAAATTCCTCCGCACCCGGCTGGTGACATGTGCTTCTGATTCTGTCTATTGACCCTCGAAGTCAGTCCCTGCTGGCCACTCAAATCCTGACACTCCAAAAGCACACTTCGCTCCTGAGCCACTGGGATCGTGCAGGGGAGCGGCCTGAAGCCTGGGGTCAAAATTGTCCGGCACCCGCACACCTGCAGAAGCCCCGTTACAACCAGTGATCCCGAAAAGAAGTGGGAACCACTTCCTTTTCGGGTTGGCAGTTGGTGAGGAACGATTCAAACAAACAGGGGCATAGGTCATATGTGGGCAAGCGAGTTAAACATCCTAGGAGCTTAGACCTGGGTGACTCAACCACGCCTGCCAATATATACGGTCTGTTTGGAGCATCTGCAACGGCCGGCGAGGCGACACATCGCTGCATTTTGATGGGTGTGATCCTTCCCTTCCGGGCGCAAGCTATTGGCCACCCCCAGCGCCTCGGTCTATAGGCAGATGTACATAGGGGCACAGCACCCAACTACTGTAGCCCTCTCAGGCATATCCCTGAGCCGAAAACGATATGCCAGCAAACATACGCCAGACTGCAGGAGCGCACGCGAGCTGGAAACCGCCCCCAAAGCTCGGCGAAAAACTGTTGGGGTTGGAATCTGTCTCTGTGACCCTCGTTTTGGGGCAAACATGTCTTGGGATAATATACATGTTAATTGCCCATCATACCCAAAGCAACATTGGCCTGTCAACACGGGGCACTCAAAGGATATGTCATTTCTGATCTCCCGGATACCCTCAAGAAACAACATCTCTCCCGGATATGTTAGCCTTGAGGAAGCTTCGGGAGGCCCGCAAAGCTAACTGTTCGATACATTCCCGAGAGTCGGAAACGTCCGCACATCGGTGCACGGAAATATAAAACACGTGTTCTTTCTGTTCCAGATTTAGCCGGCCCGAAAATAGAATTAGTTTTTGGGCAGACCCCAACCTAGGGGTGCAGGATCAATTGCAATGTCATATCCAGTGAGCAGCCCTCTAGCGGCTCGAGCGTTCGGCATTGTCCTTTCGTGGACGCAAACGAAACCCGACAAGAAGACCAGGCTTTGATTCGATTGTGGCAGGCGGCCGCGTTGACCTTTTGCCCCCTGGAGAAGTTTTCACAAACTCGAGGCCAAGAAAATAAATCTTGCCATGGCCCTGGATCCAATAATAAGCCGACTTTACGAGAACCATGTGTGTCTGACCCAGCCAAAATTGGTGATTGTAAAACTAGGTCCTCCAGTAGGGAGGTTAGAATAAGGGTGCCCTTTTCTCTGTCTATTTTCGTAGGGGAACCCTCCCCCGAAAGCAAATGGTGAGAAATGGCACCTAGCTGGGGGATCTAAAAAACTAGCCCGGCAAGGGCACGCGCTCATGTCCTCATAGTTTCCAGTCAGATTTCATCTTGGGAGGGTATTTGATAGACAATGGCTGCACTGGCCGCACAAACTTAAGCATGCCAGTTCCGAACTTCTGTCCATAGGTGCCAGTAGTGCCAATTCTTGAAGCTATCCCGCAAATCGCAACATAACTCAAGCCCCTTGCTAGGGAAAATAAAGTATTCATGGCACATAGCCGATGAGTGTTTCTCGGCATGTTTAACATGTTTCTCGAAATGGTGGACCCTGTTTGGTTTATGCATTCAAAGGGAACACTCACCATCTTAGGGGTTGATTCCCCCATTCTTTTCAGCCATCTTTTCTCGGTGGCTTTTTGAAAGAAGCATCCCTGGAAAGAATGGACGTGGAAGGTACCCTAGAATCTTACCCCTACGGAACCAACAAGGAAAGCTCAGAAGGCCGAACCACACGCCCGACTCGCCGAGCTGGCCGCCCATCTTGCCCAGCTTGTAACGGAGATCCTTGGCGGCCTGTGGGGACATCGGGAGACAAAAGGCTGTGTGGCAAGTTCGGGTCCCAAGGATGCATTGTGCCTCATTGTGGCCAATCGGCAAATCACCTTCGCCAGTTGATTTGGAAGATCCCGCAGAGCAGGTGGTTTTTGGAGGACTGTAGTGGTTATCCCTGATTAGTCGGGGGTCAGTCCCCTTTGCGAGCTTGAAAACCTTATGAAAACAAACAATAACAAAGAACAATGCATGGGGGAAGCACATGTTTGGAGAAAACTTGAGGGGTTCAATAGTGACCTAGAATTGGTGGGTTTAAGGACAGACTATAAGCAAATACTAAGCAAAAAGGAACGCCCCTTTGCCAGGTTCTTTTGGCTTTGGGGCTGAAGGGGGATACCTTTAATCTTGGAAGTAATCAGGGGGGATTTGAGGAGACAACAAAAAATAGATTGGGTCGGATTTTTGGGGCAAACCTTGTTGGCCCTTTACTTTAGTATTGGTCGGAATCTTGGAGGGAAAGGAACAGGGGAAATCTTGAATCGGGGGAGGGGATCACCAATCGCGCGCTGACATCCTTAAGAACATTGAAGTTGGGCAGTCCGGTGCCCAAGAAGCTCAGAATTGAACTCTGTGGCCCTCCAAACATGGATGCCAAACATACCAAGAGGTCCAACCTCTGCTACAACCGGACCTCCCAGAGGCTTGCGGAGCTGGCGCGGTTGTCACCTGGCCAGCACGCGCTGGTTTAGGGGTCCCCGGAAAGCGGCTTCGCTTGGGGGTCAGCTTGTCAGGTGAAAGTTGGAAGAATTCACCCATCTTCCAAGGATGGCTTAGAAAGCTATGGTTGATGAAAAAGTTGGCCCAATTCACACCCACAAGAACTGTCCACTAAAGTCCTAACCCTTTTTCTCCCAAAATAAGCCGATGTCTCCAGCAAATCCATTCTGGGGGCAGCATTTGTGCGAACTGAAGGAAGGCCAAAGCCTACATTTGGTCCAAGGGCAGGTGCACGTATGGGTTTTGGAGGCGAGGTTGCATACCACAAATATACGGGGGATATACTGTCTCGCAAGCTTGTTTGGTGGTATAGAACCATCCGTGCCTCCATTCCCATACCTGAACATGCCCTTGATCTATGGGCTTGGCACAAAGTCAACAAAACTTCGCAGACTTCGCCTAGGGCCCACATCTTTCACGACATACCGTGACACCATAGTTTCAACACGCCTGAAGCTTCGGCATGGGACAATGGGCGAGCCGAGGCAGCATTGCACCAACGATCAAAATAGTGCGTATCAAGAAACCACCGCATTTGAAGAAGCCAAGAGAAACCAGTCTCAGAACAAAATGAGCCATTGCAATCGGTATCTAGATGGGCGCCCCTAGCTTGGACACACCCATACTCATTTGCTTTTACTGTGAGAAATTGCCGCACAGGGTTGGCCCACAGGGTGGACAATTCGAGCGCTACAAGTTCGTCCACATGAAGCAGCAGCCGCCTATGATTTGTATGCGAAAAGTACTCCCTGTGAATATGCGTGTTCAAAGATTAAACTTGACTAATGGCTGATTACTTTGCAGGGGGGGAATGTAAACATGTGTAAAATATTATTAAAAATGGACCAACAGGGGGGAGAACTGGTGATTTCCACAAAAAGGCACATCCAAACCTTTCCCTAGAAAAAGCATCAATAACAACGGCCTCAACCCTTGACAGATTGGCTTAAATGACATCAGCCAATCTGCAGGCATTTTGAACATATCCAGCAACGACCACTTTAGTCGACCCAGCAATACGGCACATCTAAACAGGGCGGGGTCTCTCCCCTGCTTTCTTTCCCTGCTGCGGCTTTTGCTTCGGCCTGCGGATGGATCTGTTGCAGGCCATCATCGAACATGCCGCCATGCCCTACGTAATGTGTGCTTGGGCATTCCCATCGGGTTCTTTCTGATCATGGGTCTCCAAAGCTGTCAGGGGCAAACAGCCCAACAAGTGCACTTTGAACTATTGCTTCGCCTTCGGTTGGGTGACTGAAAAACACTCAAATCTGCAAAAAGAAACATGCAATACTTCCAAAACTTGGCAAAAAGAGATTTCCTGAAGGGTCTACATCATGGCTTTCGCTTGTTTTACCCCCTTTCGGGGGAATCGCTCACCATGAAATTGGCAGACTCAAATAGATGTTACTTCTCGCTAAAATGGTCTTCCCGAAAAGTTTAAAGTCCAGCAACTCAGGGAGTGGAGTGACTGAAAAGCTCACACATGGACTGAAGGGGACTGAAAGCGTCGAGTTGGCTTCGGGCACCCAGCTCCATCGATTGGGGATCTCCTTTGAGCCGATCGGACCCGATGGTTCTTTTGCCCTGAGGCCCGGGGGTTTTGGTCGTGCTACTTCCATGTGCCTTGTTGCCCGGAAAAACGCGTCATCCATCTTTCCGGTATAGCGATCGATTGCCTTTGAAACCAACAAGGCTTTTAGAAAAAACAACAACATCGGAAAA